AACATCTTCTTTCTTTCTTTTTATTAAAAAGCCTTTGATTAGTTCATTTCTAGACTTTGTTTTTTCTAGAAATATTTTGTTAAAGATTTGCTTTTTGACTTTTTCTATTGTTAGTCTTTGCTGATCTTTATTAGATTAAGCTTTCTCTTAGATTTCTTCACATATCTCTTCTTCTAGCCTGTTCCAAATACCTTGGTAGATTGTATATATTGCCAGGTAATTTTGTATTTCTGATTCTTCTACATATACTATGCATGTATTGGTTTTGTATAAATCTGGGTACCTTCTGTTTAGCATGTCTATAGTCGGTAGTATCTCATTTAGGCATTTTATTCTAAAAACCCAATTTCTATTTTTTTTGATACTAGTACAATTACCTCTTTTAAATCTATTTATATCTTTCCATGTTTCTTTCCATTCTATTGATTTTTTCTTTTTTTCCTGTTCTAATTATATTTAGTTACTTTTTAGATTGTCCTATTCTATATTTAAAAATGCCAATATTATTTTGTCAATACTGTTTCTAATTAGGTTATTTATTTTTATATTTTTCTAACACATTGTTATTTTGTTAAACCTTTATTATATCTTCTGAAAATCAAGATTTGAACTTTTTTTAGCTCTTTCTTTTGCTAGTTAGTCTGCAATTTCATTTTCTAGAATGTTGCTATATCTTTTTATTTTTTTAATTTTAATATCTAGTTTTTTACTACTTTTGAGTTTTTAAAAATATAGAAGTATATTTTTATTCTTGATCTTCATACTTTTTCTTAGCTTACTAGGATTTTTGCTTTTTTTAATTATCTGAATTGCTGCTGCACTATTTGTTATTATAGTGACTTTTGCATTTTTTTAGAACTACTACCAGAGCTGTTATTATAGCTCCTAGCTTTGCTCTTGTTGAAGAGGCTAGTTTGATAATATATATTAAAACTTAGTCAGTTGTCTCTTTTCTTCTTTAGTTTCTTTTAAGACTATCCAACTTGCTTCTAGCTTAGCTTTGTTTTTGGGGTCTTTCAGGTTTAGCTAAGAGCTATTTATATAAAATATTATTTCTTCTCTATTACATAGTAAGTAGGCTTTTTCTTTTAATTTTTTTTTTTGCTTTATTTCTTTCAAAGCTATTCTCTATTAATTCTTTATTATCATTCAAATTTTTATATTTTTGTAGCAGCTTTCTTGAGCCTCTTTTAAAGTTTCTTGTATATTATTTTTATATATTAATAAGCTTTTGGATATTTTATTTTCCATGTATTTTCATCTTCTAGCATTACTTTTTCTAGCATATTTTTCTGAATAGCTCATCTAGTGTTTTTATATTTTTTCCAAAAGTGGTATATTTGCTAATCGGATTCTGCTATATAATCTCTACAATATATTAAAATTGTTTTATCTTTTTCTAGAATTGTTTTTCTTTCTAATACTTAATTTTGAAAGTGTTTTTGTTCTTTTTTTTAACAATTTTTTTTATATTTAGATTGCTATTTCTACTCTCAAAAAGAATCTAATTTTTTACATGTTTATTTGAACTAATTTCTTAAAGGTATGTTTTAATCTCTAGGCTCTCTGCAATGTTTATATAATATTCTTCTTTTATTGATCTTTGTTTATAGTTTTCTAAAACTTGCTTTTCAATGCTTTTAAACCAATTTGGTTTATTGCCTACTGCTTGAATTTCCCTAATTCTTTTTATTTGCCCCTATTCTAATAGCTTTTTTTGTTTTGTATTTACAATTTGTTCAAGCATAAAGATATTTATCTTTTTTTTTTTGTAGAAGCTGTTTGTATTATTTTTGTCAAGCAAGTTTACCAAATCTGTTTTTTTCTTCTCTAGAGTATATATTTCTTCTAGTTCTGTAGCTTTTATGCTTATTTTTAGATTGCTTGTTTCTTTAATATCTCATATACCAGATTGTTTTTAACTTTTTATTTTTTTAATTTTTTTTTATCTAAGGCTAAAATATATTTTTTATTTTTGCAATCTAGTTGTGCTTGTTTTACTCTTATCTATATTGCTTACTCTAATTCATTATAACTGCTCAGATATATATTAAGTTCTGTTAATAGTATACTACCTAGTTTTGCTATATTAACTTTAAACTAACTATATTTTTGTATATTAGTATTGCATTTGGGGTCGTGCTTGCCATATTGGCTTTGTTCTTTGTTAGCTTGAAGATAAGGCTTTGTAGTTTGTCATAAATATTATGTAAAAAAATATAACATTATAGCCTGTACTCTACTCTTAGTAACAATACTCTATTATTCATATATACCATATATGCTAGCAAGATTCTTTTTTTTTAAGAATATTAACTATCATATCTACTTTCTTTTTAATTATGTTTATAATTACTTTCTTCTCTTTTTTTGTTGAAAGCCAGATACCTAGAAACCTTGTACTTTTATTATCTTTTTTTTTATCTATATTTTTTTCTTTTCTTGATTTACTTCTATATAGCTTGTTTTATTCTTATTTTTGTTTAATACTACCAACTCTAATTTTTTATTGTTAATTTCTATATAATTTATCTTATAAAATTATTCTACTATTTTTAGAATACTTTCTAATTGCTTCCTGGAGCTAGCTATATAAGTAGTATCATCTGTATAAGCAAGCACCTCAAACTTTATATTTATACTTTTTATTTGGTTTAATCTTATATCTGTTGGTTGTTCTACTTGCATTTTGTAACCTGTCTCTTTGTAGCTTTGTATTGCTACTAGCAAAGAGTTATAAAATATTCTCTAGACTAAAGAAGATATCACCTTGCCTTGGTCTATACTATCTTGTGTAGTGAAAGTTTTTGTTAGGCCTTGCTTTGTAATTACTTGTATTTCTCTCTTCTCATAAAGGTTTATAATAAAGCTTCTAATTGCTTTTAGAAGTTTGATTTGTTGTAGAGCTAGATTTAATATTTCCAGGCTAACAGAGTCAAATACTTTTTTTTATGTCTTAAAAGAAAAGCCAAATTTCTTTCTGCTTTTCTTTTGTATCTTCTAAGATACAGTTAAAAAGGTAGATCAGTGCTGCTATTCCTTCTTCTAATAACCTTGCAAAATTATATTCTTTTAATATTTTTTTTGTTTTTAGCACTTTACTAAGTAAAATTTTTACTACTGTTTTTCTAAATGTTTTTTAGTAGCAAAATTGGTCTAATATTATTTAGCTTATAGTCTCATTCTTCTCATTTTAGTATAGGATAAAGCATCTCTATTTTTCACTTCTTGGGAATCTTGTCTTTTTTTATGCATACTGAAGCAAACTTGATACAAAGAACTTTCATATCTTTTTTTATATTTCTAAGCAGAAAGTATTGATTTCTGTTATTCTTGATGCAAAGCTACTTTTAGTTTGGCTTAAAGCTTGATCCACTCTTTTATCGTGACTTCTTTTATAATCTTTTGATATTATTCTTCTTGTATCTCATCTAGTGGTTTGTACTTTTTTCTCCAAAACAGAGGTAAGCTATTTGCTTTTAACTTTCATTTGTAAAACTGTTTCTGGAAGTAGGTTTTTACTATTTCTAGTACTTCTTGTAATTCATATACAAGTTCTTTTTTGTTATCTTCAAGCTTTACTAAGACTCTGTCTAGACATAGCTTATTGTATAGTCTTTCTAGTAATCTATTTATTATTTTCTTTTAATCAGTTACTATCATTGCATATCATTTTTAAATTTGCTCTTGTATTATTTTTTCCTCTGCCTTTTTTCTTGCTTATTTGCTATACTTTGTACAAAATCTTCTATATAAGGAAGTTTTAAAAGCATTTGATATATATTAACTAATACATAGTATTAGTTAATACTTAAAAGTATAGAAAAACAAACCCTTTATAGCTTAATGCATTGAAAAATTAGTATACCAATATGTTAAACAACAAATTTTGTTAACTAATACATTTCAAAACAGTGTTTGTTTATGTTAAACAACAAAAATTTATTAACTAACATATTAAAAAATAGTATTTTTCATGTTAAACAATAAAACATAGTTAATTAGCATTATTTAAAAACTTAAAATTACATATTAAAAAACTTCATTTATTAATAAATTTATTTACCTGCTAAAAGTTAATATATAAACTAATAACAAATTATATAATTATATATTATCTATCATATAAGAAAAACTAAAAGCATTTGCACAAGAAACTTTTCTGCATTTATATTAGCATTTAGAAGAAAAGCTTCTAAACTAAATATTAAATTATAGAAAATTTAGTATAATATTATAAATGAAATATTGTTAGGCTATTTATTAATCAATTAACAAATTCAAAAAAAATAAACTACTATAGTTATCTTTAAGAACCAGTGATATAGTTCTCATTACCATTATTGTCTTTAATATCATTATTGCTTAGATGGCTTTCAGAGTTGAAGTCAAACAAGCTTTTATAAAGATCATCAACATCTATTGAATCTAAAGATTTAACTTGTAAGTTTGCAAAAGAGGTGTAAGTGTCTTTTTTATTCTAAAAAATAAATAAATAAATAAATAAATAAAATAAATAAATAAATAATAAACAATTAAAACAAAATATACTATGTCACTTGTTTCCTTTAAAAGTTTTTGGTACCATGTATCAACAACATCAGAGTCAAGTTTCACTAAAAGGTAATTTTTATCAAAAATAAGTTCAAGAACTGCCTGAGTCCAAATTGCATTGGCATAGGTACATTTATCTTCAGATATAAAAGTATATTTGATGATTAAAGCAAGAAAAGTATCTGAATTTGGGTTATTTGAATCACTTGGATTGTATAAATCATTATAAACTTTTCTAGAGTTCTCTTTTCACAGTTTTATTTGCTCTTTAGTATTACATTTGATAAACAGTTTAACATTACTAATGCCAAAAGTACTCCAGAGACTTTCTTTAATTCGATGAATATAGTATTCTTTTTTGACATGATTTGCTGATAGCATCTATAAACAAAATTAGTATACAAATTATTAAAGGTATTCTTATAATCATTTCTTCTAGAGATACAATCTATTATTCGTTTTTCTATTTAAATTTATAGATATCTGTAAATTTAAATAGGAAAACGAACAATAGATCACACCTCTAATTTCTCCTATAGGTCATTTACCCAATATTATATAATGCTGTAATATTTAAGTAGATATATATAAATAAATTGTTATCTGTTAATTTCAGGTAAATAACCTGTAAAGGAAAAGACCAGCAGAGTAATAAAAGTAAAGGATACCAATACAGACATCTGAGTAAAATTTTTCATTTCACAACTTATCAAATAAAAATCCTTTTTCTTTCAAACATTATAATTGCTCTGCACAATCTTCATCTTTTTTCAACTTATCTTTGAGATGTATTTTCACTTCTTTGTCGCTTATTTGCTTATGTTTATGAAATAAAAGTTGTTGAATTGCTTTCTAAAGTATATATAACAAATAAACATAAATATTAATATAACAAAAAAGTAATAGTTTAATGCTATAATGAGAATCTATTTAAAACAAAAAATCGGCTATTTTCTTTGATAGCTTTTTCTCTTTATTTTTAATCTCAACAGAATTATATATTTCTCCAGCATTATCTAACTTTTTTAGGATATTTTCAAGCCGCAATCATTGTTAGTTGTTAAAATATTTGAGTTTTGCTTAGCTTATAGCTAGATGCTCAAGTTGTAATTTATTACTTTGTTCGATATTTAAGATCTTCATCAATATGTGTAAATCAGTAATAGATAACTCTATTAAATAATATATATAATTAACTAATATAGTAAAGAATATAAAATATAATTAAATAAATAAAATAAATATTAATCTGGGTTTTTGTCAAGTAGAGAAGGTATGGGAGGGATAATAACTTGGGATTGTGATTAAATTATATAAGAAAATAATATATAAATTAAAATTTAAAAAAAAAATTTATTTATATATATAAAAAAAAAATATACAGGATCTACTAATAATTCTTTTCTACTATCTAAAGACTTATTGATAGTAGTTATATTATTAGTAGCTGTCAAATTTTTAGTAGTTGTCATTGGAGAATCAGAAGTTTTTATATTAGCCACTTGGTCAGCAGCTTTCTTTTTTTTGGTTAAAGAGTTTGCTACTGAGTTGTTTAATTTTGTTGCTTGTGCCAAGATGGTTAATTGTGATGATATAGTTAAAGTGGCCAAAGTTGTTGATTTTGACTACAATTAAGTTTGAGGTGAGTTGGTTAATATTTTATTATTGTCTATTACATGTCATTCAGCCAATAATTATTTGAGTTGGTCTAGAGAACTAAGATTAAATAGTGTATGATTATTAGTTTTTTCTACCTTTTCTTCTTATAATAAATTAGTGTTAATTGACAAGAACTATAAAGTAAAATTCTTCGTTTATATATTATTCTAAAATCAATCATTACACATTGTACTTATTAGCTATGTCAGCTATCTGAGTTAAGATACATTATACAAATATCTTGAAAATTTTTATAAAATAATTATTATATATCAATATATTAATGCAATTCGATTATATATATATATATAACATACCTAGAAAAAATTGACTAACAAACTATTATACAATTCATCTTTTTTTTTTTTTTTTTTTTTTTTTTTTTTAAAAGAGGTCATTTCCTCGTTCCTTTATTTTATATTAATATATGATTTACAATTTCTTATAA